TCTCAGGAACATAGCAAGAGAATGTATATAAATCTTTAATTAATATTAAAAAAATTAAATTGATTAAAAAATTATATTTATTGTTATATGTTATTTATAGAAAACTCGAAGAAGATATAATGGTTTGTGAAACTGAAAAAATTTGTTTGCAAAATAAGCTTGCAAAAATGGAAGAAGAAATATCTTTAATGAAAAAATCAATAAATTCTAATTCAAAAACAGAAAATATTTTAATTAATAATTCAAACAATGATATTAAACAAAATAAAATTGAAGATATAAATAATAAAATAAAAAGTAAAGAAGAAGATGTAAATTCAAAAGAGGAAAATCAGTCTATTACAGTAAAAATAATTTATTGTAATATATTATACATTCAAGTTTTTTTTATTACTCATATATATAATTTCTTTCCAGAAAATTGAGATAGATTCCCCATATCTTCCAGTAAAATCAAGAGGAGTATTTACTTTAAAGCAACATACATTTCAGAAAAATAGTACAATAAAATTAAATTCTTCAATTCTTACAAAAAAACCAAGAATTCAAGAAACATACACTAAAAATGTAAGAATGTATATAATAATTTTAAAAATAGTATATATTAGCAATATATGTACATATATTTTTTTTTTTTTTTTTACTTATAAAGATTATCGATTTAGGAAAATATAGAAATTAATAATATTGTGTATAATGGTTTGGGAGGACATTCAAAAATTGAACAATTTCCTCATCCTTCTAGAAGCAAAACAAAGAAAATAATAGATACTGGAAGTAAAGCTAAAAAATTAAAAATTGATTCAACTTATATTATTAATTAACAATAACATATTAATAATTTATAATATATATATATTAATAAAACTTGTAAATAGTATTTAAAAAAAATAAAAGAAGAGTTACATAGATTATAATTATATTTCAAGTAAGTTGTTAAAAAATTATGAATTATAAAAATATATATGAAACATTATTACTATGTATTTTTTCAATGAAACATTTAATGTATAAACTTATATAATATTTTTATTACTGATGTAAATAAATTAAAAGAAATATATAATATATTCAAAATTTGAACTTGACTTATGAAATTTCAATAAATAACCTCTTAATAATAATAAACTCTTATAAATAGTACCTGCAGTTAATCAAGAAAAATCTTAAAATATAAAGTAAAAATTTATATATAAAGCAACAATTTATTAATTTATTTAATGTCATCTTTTGAATATGCGACATCTTTTCATAAACAAATAGAATAAGAATTGATTAGCGCTATCTTTTGAATATTTTAAGAAGATAATTTTTTAAAGAAATGTCTTAAATACTCAAAAAATGGTATTGATAATCAATTCTTATTCTCTCAATCTTTTTCTTATGATTTGTTCTTCTTATTAATATATGATTCATTTATAGCAGTGATTCCATGTTATTTTTATTTTTCTTGCATTATTTATCTATATTTATCTATATTTACAAATTTATGAGTTCGAAAAATAGTATTAATCTTCAATTATATTTTAATATTATTGCAATAAAAAAAAAAAATAAAACTATTGATATTTTGTAAAAAAATTTGTGCAAAGGATATATATTTTATATAAAAAAACTTCGATGTATATTAAATATTAATATTTACGAAATCAATATCAAAAAAATTAATTTAGAAAAATTTTTAAATATTTTTTATTTAAAAAAAATAAAAAAAAGTTAATGAAAATATTCTTGTACAAAATTTATTAATAATTTATCAATAAATACCAAAAGTAATTAAATGGAATCATATAAAATTTAAGTCAATCTGATAAATATTTTTTGATTTATCATTATTTTTTAAATATTGTTATTAATAAAATATTTATAATATATTTAAATTCTAAATATCTAATATATTTAAATTTATAATATTTTGAAGAATTTTTAATAAAATATTTATAATATATTCTTTTAAATGTATTTATTAATAAAATCTTATAAAATATTCTAAAAATAAATTTCATGTTTTTTTTAAAGTTTAGTATAGTTTATTTTAAAACAAATATAATTTTATGAATATATTGATTAATTTAACATTTTTTTGAACTTTTATTGTTAATTTATGCATTTAAAAAATCATTATAATGATAATATATAATAATAATAATTATAATAATTGATATATATTTTTACAAATTAAAATCAGATTTGTTGTTTTATAATATTAATTTTCGATTTATAGTTATGTTGGAATATTTTAACTATAAGTTTATGCGAAAAATAGTTATAAAAGTAAACACAACTTATACTGATCAATAATTTTGTAATTTTTAGATTTTTATTTTTAATTTATATATCTAACATTGTAATGATAATAAAAATATAATAATTGATTCAATTTCGCAACATCTACATTTATATTTATATTTATGATCATATTTATATTATATTTTGAAATTTTATATAAATAGAATAATAATTAAAATAATAATTTTATAGAATATTAATTTTATAATTATAATAATATTGAATATAATAATATAATTATAATAATTAGAAATTATATAAATTATTTATATAATTATTATACAAATAAATACTAATATAATTATATTATTAAATATATTATTAAATATATTTTTTATGTTCTTAATATTTATAGTTTAAATTTCATTTCTGATCTAATTTTTACATGTAAATTTAGAAAGTAAGTTAATCGATTATACCAAAAGTATCTTATCGTACATAGATAACTATAATATACAGGTACAACAGTTAATTATATTTAGAAAGGAGTTGATAATACCAAAAAAAGTTTTATCAAAAAATAAAAATTAAAGAATTTCATTCGTATTATTAATAAATACAAGTTATTAAAATATATTAAATTATATAAAATATATTAAATATATTAAATATATTATTATATAATATTAAATTATATTATATTTATATTAAATATTTGCATATATAAATAATTACATTTATAATTAAAAACATTAAATTAAAATTAATTACATTTATTATATGAAAATATTTTTTTGGACTGCATATTCTAAACATATTTAAGATCTAGTTGTTTCCAAAAAAAATTTACTATGCTATAATAAGATATAAAAGATAATATAAAAGATTATAAAAATACAATAAATTTTTGTATATGCTTACATCAAATATCTTTCCATTCACATGAATCTTGACAATTATTAAAATAATAATAAGAAAAAATCAAATTTATATGATTTTTTTATACGAATTTACTAAAACAGTGCATATTTTAAAAATGTGGTTAAAAAAGAATAATAAAAGTGTAGAACAATTAAATTATACCAAAAGTAATTAAATGGAATCATATAAAATTTAAATCAATCTGATAAATATTTTTATATTTCATAATGCAATCTTTTATCACAAATATAATAAAATTTATATGCGATGATTCATTTGTATATTTTTTTTAAAAATTATACCACTTTTTTCTTCCATCAATTCAGTTTCCAATATTTCATGCTGTTCCTGATTTGGGATGCATTTGTACGACTGTAATTTATATACGATAATAATATATAATAATATAATAATAATAATAATAATATATCGATTTGTAATTATCGAATCACCTGTTGAAATAAGTACTGCATGAGTATAAATATTATTTTTTTTAGAATTCATGATGTGTTTACACAATTTTTTTATGTCTTTATTAATACTATATTTTCATTTTGTTTGTTTATATAAATTTGAAAAATTTAATGTTTAAATAATAGGAGATTTAATATTAAATAATATATTTACTAGCTTTTAAATTTTATTTTTAATTTTAGCGTTTTAATTTTAACTTTCTTAAATTTTTGATTATATTAAACGTATTTCAACACTAAGTAATTAATAATTAACTAATCAAATCAAAATTCAATCAAATATTTTGAACAATAAAAAAGATAGATAGATGTAAAAAAATTTTTTAATATAAAAAAAAAAAATTAATAGAAGAAAAATTCTTTTTTGAAAATTAAAGACAAATACATTAAATTCAAAAAAATAATAATTTATTAAAAATTATTATTTATTAAAAAAAAATCGTATTATCAACTATGAAATTAGGAAACATGTTTCGTTTTGTATATAATTAATTTACAGGTAACGATAACTGTCCTGCGCAGTTCAGACATTCTTTTTCAAAGTATCCATTCCCTCTGTTCTTGATTACTATTTTATAAAGTTTCAGCACAGTTCATCTTAGTAATGTGATTGTTCTCATGGTATTCTTTGTGTGCTTCATAATATCTCTTATACATAAATATTTTTTGAGTGGTAAATAACGCTTTCGTATCTTTTATCATTTATATGCTTTCAATAATGAAATACAATATCTATTTCAAAGTATTCTGTTGTTTTACAAAAATTTCAAAAATTAATGACATAATTAAAGATAACATTTTAAATATGATGATATTTTAAATCTCTCTCAATTAACAAGGAGTAGAATTATATAAAATAATTATCAATATTATAATTATTCAATTTAATATAATTAGAATTTTATTTAAGAATAAAAAAAAAAGAATATTAATATTCTTTGAAAAGTATTTTGAAAAGTAAAATAGTAATTATAAATAAATTTTTTAATGAAAATACAATGATATGATAATAATATATAATGATATAATAATAAACAAAATATAAAAAATATGACCATTTAAAAATAAATCAAAATGTACAAATAATTAATGTTTTCAAAATAAATATTTTATATATTCTTTATTCATATACATATAATTAATTTTACACTTTTATATAAAAATTATATCGAAAAAAAATCTTTCATAAATAATTTTATTTTTTCATAAATATATAACATACTTCATAAAACAATTTTTTTTTTCGTACTTCTAATTCTAAATTCTATACTTTTTATCTTTTTGATATTTCTCTCTATAAGATTCACAGAAATATCATAGCTATGATTTGAATCCGTACGAATCAAAAATGGAAATAGCAAATTGATTTCATGTAACAGAGATTAAGCGCGCAACATGTGTTCGTTAATCGGTTAAAAGAAAATCTGTTGATAAAAAGGAAAAGAAGGAAAAGAAAAGGTTGATGTCGAACGTGGACCGATTGAGCGAATACTACTTACTAAGGACCAATGTCCCATACGTATGAATGGGCAAACCTGAACGCGGAGACTCATGCGCGCGCTTCGAAAATCAAAATCAATGTGGGTCCTCCCCTCAGAACTCCATACCGACCTTGCTCCGATTGCCCACGCCCTTAGTGTGCCTCGTACTTCCGTCGCGGACGCATCCCTCGTGCAATCATCGTCGTCTTTGCGTCCTCCTCTCTCCCTCACTCTACTCCTCTCTCTCTCTCTCTTTCTAGCTCTCTCTCTTTCTCTCTCCGCTTCACTTATTCTCTCTCTCTCTCTCTCTCTCTCTCTCTCTCTCTCTCTCTCTCTTTCTCCATTACCCCCACTTGGTTGCTCATTCTATCTCTCTTTTTCCTCCCCACTCTCTATCTCTCTCTCTTGCTCTGGCTTTCTCTTTCTCTCGCGTGCTCTCTCTCGCTCTGTTTCTCTATCTCTCTCTTTCTCACTTATTCACTTCACTTACTCTTTCTCACGCATCTACACGTACGCGGGTACATTATATAACATACACGCGGTCTGTCCTCTCTTGATCTGTGTGCCTGCTTGTTGTGTTGTCTATCTCCCTCGGGTTTAGGTTCGGGCTCGAGTGAATCAAAATAACGAAGAGAATGTGCCGTTGATGATCGGTGGAAAAAAAGGGTGGTGGTACTTGTTAAATATCATCGGATCCTTTGGTGCTCTCGATAATCAGTCCGAAATATAGTTTTGTGTATTGATGTACGCGAGATTTCTCGTACAGATCGTCCCGCCTTTCTACACCGATGCTGAATATTAGTGATTTAAATTATGTGTGAATTCGACGTAAGGAAACGCAATCGTTTTGTGGATTTTCGGTCTCGCCTTCGAGTTTATTGTGTCAGTGAAATTTTTTTTCGGTGTTTTCCATTTGGTTGATACGGTAACCTATATCGACGAATTCTCATTATATCATAGTTGTTACTTCTTTTGATTTTTATAAATATTGCACGATTGCTCAAGCTTTCGTTGCAATGTTTTTCTTAAAAAGTGGTCGTTCTCAGTCGATAAACAATTCGTTCAGTTTTTATCGATCGAGATATTAAATTTTTTTTATATTTCACCGTTTTTTTTATTTCTTGTTAAATTCAATTTCATTTTGTAACAAATTGTTTTTGGTATGATCCAGCACTTCAAAACAATTAAAAATTCGTCAATTCCTCTTTTTTATTTTCGCCACTCAAATTAAGTTGTATTTTTTTCCAACCTGTGTCATCGGGTTTCTTACCACGCCTAACGATTCTTCATCAAAATTCTAACATCGAAACCAGTGGATATTCTACATTTTAATACTTTTTGTTCCGTTGATTAATTAATAAAAAACTTTTAAATGTTAAATAAAACATATATGATGAACAGAAAAAAAGAACAAAATCAAAGGTGTATTCTATAATTAAGGAGTTAATGAATTTTGTCCAAGTGACTAACTGTTATATGTGAACACGCTAAAGAAGGTAAAAAGTGTTCAACAAATTGTTGTAATGATTATATTTTAATGGTGTTATTAATATTTATATAGTTTATGGTATAATTCGTTGAATGGTAAATGTAGGGTTAAATGTTTAAATCTTTTTATTTATTTTAATATTAGTTAAACTAATGTTTTTATTAAGTTTGACATAGTAATCATTAGGGGTTAATATTTTTGTTGTTGATATTTTCATCGCCATTAGTATCGTTGATGGCGCCACTCTCTCTATTGGTATTATTCTTAATAATATTTCATAATATTTTTCTTGAATTATCTTCTTGTTCATCTTTTCAATTACAACAATATTATTTTCTTAAAATTTATATTAATAAATAAATTATATCTATTTGTTAATTCAACTAACATATTTTTAATATTTCAATTAATATTTAATTTCGCATATATTTATAAGTTGTATATTTCCATCAATTTTTTTTAAATAAAATATATATATTATATATCTATATCGAATAATATGCAATTTTTTATATTTACCATGTCATCTTTATTAATATTATTTTTTATTTCTTTTTAAAAATATTAAAAGATTTTTTTGTAACGCACATATTAATATTCCCTTTTTACTGTCTTTTTTTGTTATTCTTATATTGTTTTGTAGATCTATTGCTTCCATTCATCACGCTTTAAATCGAATTTTTATATATGTCGACATGTTTTCTAAATTTTTTATTTCATTTATGAAAATTTATTATTACATTTATTAATGAATATAATCATCAATATTTATAGCAAATACAATTATCAATAACTTATGAATTTAATTTATAAAAATATTATATATTTATGAATTAATATCTTGTGTATTTATAAACTTTTGTGTAATTATTTTTTTCATATAAATTATAAATTTTTATAAGTAATTAATTTATTTTTTAACATTTATATTTTAGTGCGATGATATTTATTAATTGTGTATATTGTTATAATAAAAATAGAATTTTTAATATTTTTAATGTCATTTTTAATGTCGTAATTAATTTGTTTTCAATAAAACCAATTATCTATTTACTTTTTACTTTATTTTTATTTTTATTATATACTTACATATCATATAATCACATAAATTTTTATGATTAATATTTTTACAGGCACACATTATTAAATTCACATTGTTAAATTTTATATAATCAATATTGTTTATTCAATATTTAAATATCAATTATTTCAAATATTTTTAAATAAATTTATATTTTTTCGCAAATAAATTTTGAACAAGTATCAAAGGTATTAAAAATCGTTGATTAATAAAAAATAAATATACGAATACATCATATACACAGTCAAAAGTTTGATATCACTTATTTATAAATAAAAAAAAATAGTAATATAGTGAAAGAATAAATTTAACAAAGGTAAAAATAGAAAACTATATTATTTTGTTTTCTTTTATAAACCATAAATAATAGATGTGATTCCAAACTTTTGAACAGTAATTTATGTTAAAATTATTATTCACATAAATATAAACTGCTGCAAACAGCAAACTTGAATAATACGTGTACTCGTTGAAAATATTTTGACTAAAAATACGTCAATACAATAAAAAAATACTATTAATGTACCTTGTATTTATTTGCATTTTTAAATGCAAATAATGTCGATAACAATAATATCATAGTTTAATATTAAGTATTAATATTTTTAATCCCTAAAATTCCTACATTTGCTTTTTTTATTTTTTATTTTTCTTATTCTTAATTTTTATCTCGTCTTATTTTTTAAATAGTTTTTTCTTTGTGCAATTAAATAATTATTTTAAGATGTACTCTATGATATTTTTACATATAATAGTTATATATAAATTTCTATATATGAAAGTGTTAGATCCGTGTTATTGGTTTTATGATACAAAATGTAATCTTAAAAAATATATATATACAATGTTAATTGGAAAATTAATATTTAGGTAATCTCTCTTTATGGTCATTTGTTGGTTTATGGTTTTTTCCAAATTTTAAGAGAAATATAATAATAGTAATTTAACTGTTACAGAATATATACATTAATCGTTTGTAAGTAAATGATAGTATAAGATAAGAAATATTATTAAAATCTTTATCAATTATGTATCAGGTTATAAAAAAATGATTATATATATAATATATATATGTATATAGTTGAAATTTTTTCACTAAAATTTAAAATACTGTAAAATTGTATAAAATGATTATATAAAAACCACTATAAAAGGAGATCTTTCTATATATAATTCTCTTTTTCACTGGAGAAGATTGATGATAAGATTGAGAACAAATGAACATAAAACTAAAAGTAATAATTCGTAATGAAGAAGGTTATTATGTCAGCTAAGATATCATAAAACTTTGATAATTGAAATCTGAAAGAAAAAAAAAAAAAAAAAAAGAATTATTCAAGTGTTTAAAGAATCCGTAATTCAAACTACGAGTTTCTTGAAGTTTTCCTGAGTTCTAGATTTAGTATTTGTCTTTTTAATCTTCAACGAAATGGAAAAGACGACATTTTCAGTTGTCAAATATTATTTTTCTAATTCATTTTAATTATTATATTTTCCATATTATCATTTTTCCATACGCTATATTATTAAATAAAAAAAATAATTTATCTATTTAATCGTTACTTTATGTAATAATTTTATATTCGAATTCACTGTTTTTTAACAGTAATTAATTCATTTCGAATATTTCTTATTATAATTCTTATCGAACGCTTTTTCGGTGCTAAACAGACAAAATAAAAAGGCTTCACTTTTCAAACTTCTATAGTACGAGTTAATTAATTCAATATTTGTTTAAATACTTACAAGCTTCTTTCAAACATTGTAAAATTCTTCGAATGGAAAAAATGCAGTTATTAATTATAATATATACTGTGATTCAAGTTTAAAAATTTCCAATCAAGATTAAAAAATTCGCATTAAATCGTATTCCTCGAATTGAAATAGCTTCATCGAATAATTATTTAATTTTTGTTAAATAGACATTGAACGAGCATGTATTAATTACGAAAAAAAATTCGTAAACAAATGAATAAAATTCGATGTATTACACATACGATAGTCATATAATACGAGTGGATTAGGATTAATCTTTTGCTTCATCGATTAAAAAAATTGAGTATATAATTTCCATTCTTTTCCAAATAAAACCTCCAAATAAAACGTTTATCAGGAATAGCCAATGTTCAAACGTTTTTTAATATTACAATAGCATATTCCTTTCAAGAATATCCTGTAAATAGAATATTTTGTTTATTTCTTACCTGAAAATATCTGAAAATCAAGATTTAAACTATGCACTTACTTGTTTCGATCAGATCGTGAAATTTTCACAGTTATAACAGAGATTTTATTACTATCATTTTATCGAAGTGATTTTTAATTTTTTAATAATCTTGTTATATTGTATTGTATTCTGTAATAAAAATTTTTATGCATCAAAACTGGATATATTTATTAGCATCCTCGATAATTCAAAACATAGGGATAGAAAGATATCTAATATTTCATTGTCACGTGACTAGTAAGTGAGCTAGAATTATAGACTATTTACTATATATATTCGATGCTGTCCACGTTAATCTAGAGTACTTTTCCTATTTTCTCTCCATTATCATATTATACCGAACTGTTTAACTAATACCTCTATACAAAGTGTTCTACAGGTTCCGCATAAACTTTACTAACTTGTTCTATGACTAAAAGTAAAAAAAAAGTGTAGAGTTCTGAACAGTTTCATCAAGTCAGCAATGAAAATATAATTTTCTCTTATAATATGTAAATGCCTGAAAAATTGCGTATCTCCTTAAAATAAATAATGAAATTGACGAACTAGTATCAAAATTAATACTTCTTGTCGAATATCATTGTGGTCATTTTCAAAGTACGAATCTATGAATCAATGCTATTTTCATGTCAATTTTGGAAAACTGTTTTTTTAAGAAATGGTCTTCACAGCTTTCATTAATATTTCGTAGTATGATTAATGGCATCAAAATATTTTTCTTTCAACTTTTAGCTAATATAAACTAACTATGTTGAAAAGTTCTTTTTTTATATATGTAATATTTTCTTGTTTTTAAAGATAAAAGAAATATTGAAAAGAAGATATTTTGATAACAGTAATAACATCAAAAGTCATAAAAAAAAAAAATATTTATATATAAATATAAAATTATTTTAAAAATAATCACAATAGCATTCACTAATAAAATAAAGTTCGTATTTTTACCACGATATTGCAAATTTTATTGTTATTCTTCATAAATAATAATAAATAAATTATGCATCATAAAATCAAAAAATATCTGTTTAATTTAAATTTAAGTTAAATTACAATCTAATTAATTTAAATTAGTTAGGTTAGGTTAAGTTATTTTGAGAAAAATAATGACAGCGTTAAAAAAGATAGATCGTATCTATAGAAGAATACCTCAAATAGAAAGAATATATAAAGAAAAAAAAATGTACCTGAAAAAGGATTTTTCTAAAATAAATTACGAATGAACGTTTAATCTGATACATAAAATTACGAGCGAATTATAAAAAATGATTATAGCGATTTGTATTTAATTTTTGTACTAATATCTTGTTTTTTGCTCGTACATTTCATAACAAGTGTCAAAACGTACGTGCTTAATTGGTACTCTTATACGCATTACGTACTAGCGCCTCCAGCGTTAGTTTAATGACGTTAATGTCGATTTAATTACACAGAATAAAGAATACTCGCAAAATGGTTGATGTTCTTTCTTACGATAGTTTATACGATAAATACCGATGTAAGAATTTGAAAAAGATAATTTCGAATTGTAATGAGTGGAAAAGATTGGAATTTAACTAGATATATTTTCGAATGACAGAAATTTTAGGCAGAAATCAATTTAATGATTTTTTAATTTTTTAAAAAAAATAATTATATAAAACTCTAAAAAAGAATTATTATATGAAAAATATTTTATATATCGGCGACATAAAATATCGTTTTATATAAATTCTAATAAAATAATAAAAATATAAAAAAAAATATACCGCTATACGTCTGAATTTTTAATAATAATAAAAATAATAATATCAAATATGATTATTTAATTGTCTGATAAAATACGATAATACGATAATAAAAATATTGTTATAATTATAAAATCATTGATGAGCTTTAAAACTGAAGAAAAATGATTTTATGGAAGAAGATCTTGAATCACGATATTTATCATCATAAATCAAATAACAATATTAAAAGAATAACAAAAATATTACAATGTTTGATAATACCTTGTATGTAAAAAATAGTAATTAAATGGGGTCACATAAATATCTCTGTTATTTTTAGAAATATGAAATAATGTTGTTTACAAAAATATTATTCTATAGAAAGAACCGTGACATGGTAATAACATGTCAATAATCTTTTTTGAGTTTTTGTTTTACAAATTTCAAAATCATTTCTATATTTTTTTTTTAACATGATTAATACGAAATTTATACAAAGATATATGTAAACGTACAATTTGAGATAACAAAAGAAAACAATATGGAAATTGTTCAATTTAATCATTTATTTCATGTGCAAATATATATTAAGAGAAATTATAACGAATACACGGTTGCAATTTGGCAAACTGGCTCGCCAATATCCTTTTGTAGCTTTTGTGGCTCAGTAATACATCAATTACTATTGAAACAGAACCAAGAAACTCCGAGACTTGCGAGTCCTAATTAGAATTCAAAGTTTTCGCCATATAGGGTTGGCAACTTGTATGCAGGCTGTTAACCACGACAAATCAGCAAATAGATTGTTAACCTTACTAATGTTACATAGGGCTCGTTATTACTTAATCATTATTATTATAATAACACTATATAACGAGATATTAGATTGTTTGCGCGTGGAATGATCGGTGACAACTTGAGATACCAAATAAATATTTATTATATATTAATTAAGAACATGAAAATATATATTTACACATTCTATCTATTTAATTGATGGTTATAGATGGTTGTCATTTCTGACAAGATAAAATGCGTCACGACGATAATGCAAACAAGATTGAAATAAAATTTAAGTAACTTTGGACGCACTTGTGATGTTGTGATAGCTTTTGACCTAACCTCCGTTTCATAGCACCGGCATAGTTAACGATTTTAACCATATTTACAAGTGATTCTTTTATGTGCAGTAATTGGTCCGCAAAACACCGGCTGAAATGTATCATCGACTGTGATATACCTGATGTGATATCCTTCGAGGAAGAATGCAACTCCGTACAAGATTCGATCGATGAAAAATAGAATTCTCTGCCCGTCATCATGTTCACGAGAGCCAAGATGCCGGTGACTGGTGATGGGACTTTTATTAACCGCGGTGTAACGAGAAATGTGACATGTTGTCGTTAAGCAACAATGAGCATTGGGGAGCACGCATCAGCGAAAAGTAAGTAGGATAATACTGGAGATATTTTTCATTATTAACCTTTTTGCAAATGCGGACAAATTTTTCTTCTTTCCTTTCTCCCTTTTCTTCTCCGCTCTCGTATCTTTATATTTTATGAACTTATATAATAACAATAGATTTAATTACAACATACGTATTCATTTTACAAATCATTTTACAAATGTTCGATAGATCCATGACATTAAGTAAGATTTAGCGCGAGAATTTCCTTTATTTTTTGTGAAACATTATTGTGCGCTTTTAAATATAAATATTATCGTATCGTATTCGTATAATATTGGATGAATGCAGAAGTTTTGACGGATTTCCAGTAGATTGTACGATCGGCATTGTTTCGAAGAAACAATGGACAATCTTGTCGAAGCATTATACATCGTTAACAACGTAACGCAACAGTCAGCTGTCATTCAAAATAGGAATCGATATGATTGAGTTAAATTTTAATTTAAAATAAAATTGAAAGAATTATCGATAAACTGCCATTTACTTACTTTAATATTATACAATAATGTATAATTACAAAATGATAGAAAAATCTTGCGAATATACGATATGAGTGCAATACAATATGAGTAGTATTCGTGCCGATACGTCGAACTATTGGAATTGGAACTCTATCTAAAGTACATAGTTAATAAATTTATGGCAGCTGTATGAGTACTTAATAAAGTTATCTGAACAGCTAATTAGACTACCTAAGAAATTAATATAGTTACCTGACTGAAGCTTATGCGGGAATTGTGTGAAAAAGCAAATTTTATTAAAACAATTTGAAAGATTAAATTAGACTCTTGCAGAAAATATATCTACTTTATACGATTGATCATTTTGAAATTAACTTTTTTGAAAATCCGTATCTTTTAAATTCAATTTTGAAATTAAAAAGAAAAATAAAAATAAAAAAAAAATACAAATACATACGTATTTCCCAACAAAATCCCAGTAAATAGTGCAAAAAAAAATCGATCGACTTGGCTCGTGCCACGATTACTTCACATCCAAGCAATAAAATTTCTTTAAAGAAAACGTAACAAAACGTTGAAAGGTATTGATAACATTGCGGAATTAAATGGAATTTAAATAAAAACGTGAAAATATTTTCGATAAAATGAGAAAAAATGCGATATAGAAAAAGGAAAATTATAAACTGTACATACCAATTTCCAAATTATATAGATATAGTAACAGGTTGAACGCTTATCTCTTTAAATTGCATTTGTAACTACTTAAACTTACAATTTAATGGAGTGAATTCTACAAAGTTAAGATCAGGAGTTGAATTGTTCGGGACAGTTGCGTCTCATTCGGCTCACTGCCAACAGACGTACAAAGAGTGGTTCGTAGAATCACATCCGAGGAAAACGTCACCAAGATCGGCCATGCTCTTTTTTTTTTTTTTTTTTAGAACCACTTAAAACAGACACTTTGTGGTGTCTTTTCAGTTGGTTTCATTGGATTCTAGAATATATTCCAAAAAAATATGCACAAAGGGTTAAACTGAGATCAAAAGTAATAATTGGACTGTGAATTTTGTAAGAAATGTTTTAGAGATATAAGAAAATGGTTTAAAGACAAAATATTTACTTAATTATATTTGCTATATTTTTATGAATTTGTATGAATTCTATTGCAACTTATTACAATCGCCAAACAAATTTAAGAAAGATTAATATTATTAAATTATATAATATTATTTATATATGGAATAGTTTATAATTTTTAAATGATTTTGATTTCTTTTTCTTGAATTATTCTTTATCCTACTTCCAGTCTACTCATTTTGCCTGAAACACAAATTCAACAATTAAACAAATTATAGAAATCAAACAGAACACGCCTATAACCTCTTCAATATAATCCGCCTTCTTTATTAAATAAATACAATGAAATTAAAATATATAAATATATGTAGATACGTATATAAAAATGTAATTTTTAATATAATCACGTGACATCACGAGAACTAAATTATCAACCAATCTCATTGAGTCGCCACTGGAGACATAATGGAGCATGCAAGAATGTTAGCTGTATACATATATATATTTCGATATTCATCAACGAAATGTAAGGTCAAAGGAACGTTAATTTCATCCATCCCATCCATTAGAGAAATAATGCAACTGTCCATTTCTAAGATTCACTTCTCTGAGTATGTACAAGGTAACCTTGTCCTTATTGGCAAACACTTTGTTTAAAAATAGTGATTAATATTGCTGATAACAGTACGTCACACTTTAATATTCATTCGTATTGAAAAGTGTGTTGCAACGAGGCCACGAAAGATATTATTATAGAGCAGTTTTCCATTAGCCATAGGCTGTGATCCCTCCTCAAGATGATATTTTTAATGTGTACGAAGAGAAAACTATCGCTCAACGTGGCTTATGGGCGCTTACGCGTGCGAGGATGAAACAATATTGGAAAATTATTTATAGCTTGAATAAGGAGAGAACTAATGCAAAGCTATCGACGTGCAACCATGCCACTTAATAATAAACCTGTGTTGTACAGGTACAAATATCGTGGAAATTTATCATTTAACAGATAAACAATCGCTTCGATCGTTTGAAGAACATCACAAGAGGGTCTGATTTCTGAGGTACGTTGTCTCAGAATGGACACTTTGTATTTATAAAAGTTCAGATATTAAATATATATCCAACAGCAATCATAGATGTAATGATCAAGAACTATTGAAGACGCTTGTTTATCAAGGAAGATTCATCCATTAAAAAATTGATGTTCGAGAAATTGGATAAACAATACATATTGTAATTTGTTCCTATCAATTTTCTCTATTCGAAAATAAATATATTTCAGCATAGTTTCGGTATACGTTATCGATATTGTTTCAAGGAGGAAACAAATTTCGTTTCTTCTCTGTGTAAATTTTTTTCAAAATGATTTATAAATTGCACATCGATAGCAGAACAATTATTAGCAATAATCGTTATAAGATGATATATACATATCTGTAAATTATTCAATTATATAGATGTGTGGTATTCGTGATTTTATCTTTCTTATGATTTTTATTTTAATCAAGCATACCGATTATTTTTACAGAATCATCGTAAATACTCAAAATGATTTCTCTCTGTTTGGCTACACATTGCGGCGTGCTTGAGTATGCTTGCTTGATCATCCCAGGGCATATTAGCATCGATGATGGCAACGGCAGCCTGGATACTGGTATGGATCATATGGCCGGTAATGAATATCAATCAATTTCTTAATTTAATTATATTATCCGGAAATGCTACTTGGATAACAGCGTAAATAAAATAATAAATAATTTCAACGAAAATTTATTTGGATTTTGAATAACTTATACTTTATAATGATTGAGGATCTTGCAACAGAAGGAAGACAACAATTTTAGGAAAAATTAAGAAAAAAAAAAAAAATTGCTTAAAAATTTATTGCTTTGACTTAACAAATATATTTACCTTGAATTATAACTAAAATAAAATATGTTTTTATTTTTCATGCAAGATTGTCTTCAGATCAAGTATTTTTAAGTATAACGTATATCTTTATATCGTTTGACACTTTTAATATCACTTTGAATATATTTTTTTAGTGACCCACTGCACATATATATATATATATATATATATATATATATATATATATATATAATTATATTCACAGATTTGCATCAACTTTCTGAAAAAAAAAAGCTTATATAAAAAGTGAGATCTTATCAATTTCTACTTACAGACCACGCGCCATCAACAAGATCAGTGAAAAGGGTATACAGTTGACGCATCCCTCTGTTCCTTAAAGATTGGAAATAAGCGTCCAGAGAAGCCGGAAAAGCGGAACCGTTTTTTCAACGTCGTTTTACATGCGTACGTGCGTACGTACGCGCGTGTTACATTCGCTAGGTTACATGCGAAAAGTGCGAGGAAGGGCCTGCAGAGAGAACGGATTTCGTAGAAAAATGTTCTGGCCGGACACGTGACATGTAAACCGTATACAAGCAGAGAAATATTTCCATATACATACGGAAAAGAAACGATAACAGGTGGAGGGAAAAACAGAGTGAGAGGGGAGAGAGAGAAAGAGAGAGAGCGAGCGAGAGAGAGAGAGAGAGAGAGTGGGGAGGGAGAGAGGAAGGAAGAAAGACAGAGGGAGGGGGAGAGAGAGAGAAAGCAAAAAGAAAGAAAATAGAAAAAGGAGAAATATTTTTTTTTGTTAAAAATAACATAAAGAAAGCTCAAAAGCTGTGGATAAAGAAAAACAAATAAGAAAATAAAAAATATGGAAGTAGTATTGCTTCTATATGAAAATAAATGTGAAATACGTTTAAAAGGATAAGCGCAAAAAGATGAGTAGCTGAATAGAGAAATGAATTAAACCAAGAGGCGATTTAAAAACGCGAAAAAGGGATACCTTAAAAGAATTCTAAATAATAAATTAAATGATAAATAAGAAAATTTTATATGTAAAACAAATCGTTTTAAGTAGGAACAACAAAGGATTTAAATAAATAGAAGAGAAGAAAAAAAAAAAAGAAGACGATTTCTATGAATAAAACGAAACGTTGTACTTTGGAAAAAAGAGAGAAAAATAATTTTAAGAATCGAAGAAAGAAAATTTGAAGCGTACGAGAAATAGAGATAATACATATTGAGATAGAAATGAGCGAAAGCTGAAAATTGAGGCAAATTTGTATTTAAGATTAGACAAAATAGACAAAAGACACGTACGTAAATAAGTAAAAAAAGAAAAAGAAAGAGAAAAGAAAGAAGGAAAAGATTTATTTATTATTATTAAGGAAGTACGCACAAAATATTTTTCAGCAATAGCGAATTCTTCAGACATGAATGTGACTTCAGACATTTTCGGAAACGAGAGTTACAACGTGAGCAATGGTCTCGATTGCGGCGGAGAATTACACTCATATAGAATATGGGAACGCGTGTTGATCGTAATCATAGCCCTTTTCCTTAGTCTGACCACCGTTGTCGGTAACATCATGGTGATGATCTCGTTTAAGATCGACAAACAGTTACAAACGATTTCCAATTATTTCTTGTTCAGCCTAGCAGTTGCTGATTTCGCAATCGGTCTAATTTCCATGCCTCTCTTCACGGTATACACTGTGCTCGGTTATTGGCCGTTGGGACCGCATATTTGCGATACATGGTTAGCGTTAGATTATTTGGCAAGTAACGCATCAGTATTAAATCTTCTTATTATCAGCTTCGATAGATACTTCTCTGTGACGAGGCCTCTCACCTATCGAGCCAAGAGAACTACTTCCAAGGCCGCCATTATGATCGGTAAGTTAATTTTCTGTTATATCTCTGAATTTAATGATTCTATTGGTAACACTAAAGACAGTTACTTATCCATAGAAATTTCAAAAGAAACAGTGAAGTTTTAATATTTTATGATAAATATTGTAAAAATGGCAACATACTAGTAGTTTTGTAAATCAACAAAGTAAAAGAACGAATTCTTTATGATCTATTATCATCGATAGATCGATTATCGATTTATCATCTTTGTAAGAATTTTTAACAAATCTCGATTATTAAAAAAATTCTTCAAAACTCGAATCGATATTAGTTTTCTGTTTAAAAAACTACAAAATTCGAGACCGTTTTAAATCTTTCAATTAGTATTTTTATATATAAAATATATACTATAATATATATATTTCTGGTATTTTTATCCTTATAAAAATAATTATATTTAATTATATATAAGAAAGAGAAAAATCGAGTTACTTTCTTCAAATTTATCTATAACTTATATATTAATGGTAAATTATTTCGAAGATACTTTTCTCCGTTTTCAATATTAATAATATCGAGAAATGAAATCTTTTTTATATAACTTTTTTACGCTATCAATAGAAACAAAGGAATCAACCTACTTCTGCCTAGTCAATAATATATACTTATACGGAAAAGCTTCTTACAAAGGAATGTATTAAACCGATATTGGATGTCTATTTTGATGAAACTAATCAAGAAAGTATGTAGCCCGATGAAAAAATATTTAAAATATTCTATTTTTCATCGGTAATGATATAAAAGAAATAAAAATAATTCTTACAAAATTACATAAAAGCTATAATTTGAGATTTTAATAAATTCGATGTTATTTTATTTTGCTTAATATATTATACTATATGAAAAGCATAATCTTGATATGAAAAGCATGCTAAATCAGTATGCTACAATCTTTTAAAATAAAAAAAATTTTTTAAAAAGATTTTAAATTGTTAAATAAAAACATTACCTATAACTTTTCAGGAAATACTTCATAATCTTTAAGACAAATCACTGATATATATATATATATATATAGATTAAATTACAAAATTCGTATTCCTTCTCATTTAAATAATACTTTAGAACAATAGCATGAATATTAAATAAAGAAGAAATAAACAAATAATACGTTTCAGCATGCGCCTGGGGAATTTCATTGCTTTTATGGCCACCTTGGATTTATGCTTGGCCATACATCGAGGGCCAACGAACGGTACCCATCAATGCATGTTATATACAATTCATCGAGACAAATCATTACATCACATTCGGTACCGCAATTGCTGCATTTTATGTGCCTGTCACTGTGATGATCATTCTTTATTGGCGTATATGGAAAGAAACCAAGAAGCGGCAAAAAGATCTTCCGTATTTACAAGCTGGAAAACAAGATGCCAGTAAGAGGAGTAATTCTAGGTTGGTTGTTTAATTTTTTTTCAATCTTTTTATATATACTATTATATAATTAATAACATTTTGATATTATGACGAGATAATTTATTAATAACAGTTTTTATTAATTCATTCTATTAGTATCGTATTGTGATATTAATATGCATTAAAATTATTATTACTTGTTTTTTCAAAAGCATTTCATAAATCAAATAAATTTTCAAACAAAATATATATGTCATACAAAAATTATATTTTCAGATCTAAAGAAGAAATCCAACAATGAATAATATCTACTTTTTTTAATTCTAAGTTATTTTAAATATTTTAAATATTATTTAAAATATTTATATTTATATATATGTACAATTAATTAATCCGCAACGTACTAACAAATACAACGAGTTAATAACTCAAAAAATGAAAAGAGATAAATAATTCATCTAATTATTTTTTTACTTATTAATAATTCTCTTTACTTATTAGTATTTATCTAATACTTTTTTTTACTAATTAGCGATGAAGCGTTAGACATGGAGGACTGCAGGAGGCCTAGAAGCGAATCGAGCACAGGAGTCGAAGACGTGAACGCGACACATATCGCAGTCTCTTATCTAGAAAAACATTATCCTCAATATAAAATGGTAAATATTTCAAACTATTTAATATTTTATACAAAGATATTTGTTAAAAATAATGAATATAATTTATATAAATTTATAGAAACACAGACCATTTTCGTGGATGTGGTTAAAGATGTGGTGCATCGCGTGGTGGCATAGTGGTCGCGAAGACGATGACGAAGAAGAGGATATCGAGGGAGCTGAGAGCAGTCGTGCTACACACGGTTATGACGAAGCCATAACGCCATTGTCAGCGGAAACCCCTCTTACTGGTACGGTTTCTCGATCTGCCTCTTTAAGTGGAATTCATCCTACTACGTTAACTGTTGAGAGAGCTATCAGTATCGCTGATAACCACGATTATAAAAAATCTGGAAAAGCCGGCGAACTATCAACGAAAAGCATCTCTAGCGATTCTGTACGTTTGGATTTATAAATATTCTAATAATATTGCACGATCTTGCATGTTACAATAACTAAAAGCTATATATCTTGATAAAATAATTTTTGCAAGAAACCTTATATTTTTATTTTATTCATTCTTATTTTCATATTTTTGTTTTATTTATTTTTAACATTATTGTCACTTAATTAATCAATCATTCAAAATATTTCACACAATTAAAGCATAGATTTAAATACATTGGCTGATCAGAGACATTTCTGCAGTATTCGTTTTCATAATTATCACAAAATTAAAGGCGAGAATTATGGATTAAACGAGAAAAATTAAAAATATTCAAAAAAAGGAATAAAAAATTTTTGGTATTGAATAAGAAGTCACGAGATATAAGACAAAGAGAGATATTATTTAGAAAAAAAAATATCAATCTATACTTAAAAAGATTTATTTGATATATATTTAATGTAACAATTTTTATAATTAAAAAAAATAATATCTAGCTCAAAGAATCAAATTGTTATATTTGGACATAATAAATATAATATAGTAATATATCGATCCAGTTATTTAATAGATTAGAGTAATATAAGCTTACTTGATCTTTCTGAATTACTTCGTATAATTTTGAAATTTTTCGTATCATAAAAATATCATAGAATCAGGGGTGTCAGATTGTATATTATATAATTATTTAATATATAAAAATACTTTACCTAGGTTTACACGATTTTAATTCGACTTCCAACAAGAGATACCAGTGGCATGGGAAAGTATTCGGAAGGCCCAAGTATAAAAATGTATCACGACGAAACAGTGAGTCCTTCAATGATCACCAGGAGACCATCTCACATGCCGGATATAAGGATTCCCTTAAATACAAAAAACATTCCGAAAGCATTAGGGAGCAAGCCAGCCGCGAATAAAACTACAAACAAGAAGAAAAAGAAATTGCAGGAAAAAAAGGCCGATCGAAAGGCCGCGAAAACTTTGTCAGCCATTTTGCTGGCATTTATCATCACCTGGACACCGTACAATATTCTTGTTCTAATTAAATCCATCACAGCCTGCTCGTGGTACATCCCGCAAGAGCTCTGGGACTTTTTCTATTATCTTTGTTATATCAATAGTACTGTGAATCCAATGTGTTACGCCCTGTGCAACGCGGCATTTCGACGAACATACGTAAGGATTCTCAAGTGCAAGTGGCATAATAGAAACAGAGCCGCGATTGACAGAGGATGATATCAGTAGAAACGCCCAGCATGCGACATCTGCACGCTTATGGGCGTACTATTTTCTCTATCATTTTCTCTCTTCTCCTTTTTAATCATTCCTCCGAACGTGCTTGCCGATGATAGGGAAACTGAGTTGCTTTCAATTATAATATAACCTATATTAATAAATGTTTACATTTTATGTGACATTTTCGCTCAACATTATTGCGTATATC